TGTAAAAAATGGCAATGTTGGGCATGTAAAAACCCGAAGAATCAATATTAGTATGGATAAATGTAAAATATTGTTTTATGTATATTGTTATTGTTAGTGCAGAATCCATTATTCTGAGCAGTTTCATTCAGTGCTGTTAGTAAAACATCAGGCTCGTATTCACACAGGCAGCATAGCTCTTTCACTTTAAATTACCATTCATGTCAAAATTCTAATTTAGTTTAATTCCTTAAAAACTTGCAGGTTTTACTGAATAACCTTATTGATATGGATTTTTTATTTTTTTTTGCAATAATGTAAAAATGATGTAAATATAAAAGAATATTGACCAAATCGTAAAATGTTATACTGCCTGTTAGTGAAACTGAGTGCATTCAGACATGTCTGAAACATTGCAGTTTGAGTTCATGCCCGTTATAACCCACGTTTGTGTCGTCTCTCTTTCACTCGGAGTTAAGAGATGGTCATACTGACAGAGATGCATGCAGGTAGAAGTTCACGGCACGCAGAACTGTAAAACCCATGCTGACTGACTGACTGCACCAGTCTAGTAGTTACCGATGGCCTGGACGGATGCATGGATGGACTCAAGGCCCTTTACAAGAGCTCCTCATTTGGCAAACTTCCCCAGTCCTCACTCTGGCTCTACAAATACAGAATTGAGCCAATCAGAGAAATCTTTTTCTCTGTCTCTCAGGGTGAATCGGCACTCTTGATGTTTTCGACCCTGCTTCTTTCAAGGCGGGAAAATCAATTAAATGGTTTTAAACAGCTACTATATTTATGCACTTGCAAGGAAAAACGTCATGTTAAGAACTTACCATAAGCCCTTTAGGACCACAAGTACAGCGTGTTCCCTACAGTGCGGCTACCTGATGGTGCTGCTGACCGTAAATCAATGAACAGCTTCACACTTTGTCCTCAGGGATTATGGACTTGGCTGGGCAGCTGCTGCCTCACAGCTAATGGTGATGGGCCACACATCATTACCTACTTTGGGCTAATTTATATTCCAAGTGTGGTAACATGAAAAAAAAAAAGTTTTAAAGAGGGTTCAAACTTTGGTGCCCTTTTGTTTTACTTCAACAACGTCTTTTTCACCTGAAACAGATTTGTCAAATATGAATGATATCAAAGAAATTCCATTTACAGTTCAATAGAGAGTAACCAATACATTTCCAGGCTAATATATCTGACAAACACTGTCTCTTTGCAGGATATTTATATCAGTGTTTTGGTATATTTAATCCCTATTTTTTCCTAATTTGATTATGTTACAGATACCCATTTTTGCCACCCTAATAGCCACATGTGTGAAGACTTTTTTAATAATTTACATAAAGAAATTGTCCCTAAGATATCCAGTGCTGGCTGTTCTCCACAGTTCACATCACTTTCCTCCTGTGGATGTTAATGGGCTGTCAGCAGTGGCCTGGTTTCCCTTCCCTGAACTCATTAGCTGTGGCCTTTTGATGCACTAACTGACTAAATTTTCAGCAAACAAATCCAACAAAGCCATCAGCCCGCTGCCTGCCTGCCTGATTAGATCTACATTATACTAGACCCCTTTGTAACACCAAACACAGTGTGTATTTTACTGATTTCATGTATATTCAACAATAAAAACTACCTTTACAAGCTCATGCTGACAAATTATTTTGACAGTTTGTTTTTCATTCCCTACAGAGACATAATAAAAATCACGTTCGTTCTCTACTGTTACGGTTCTCATTAATTCTGTGACTGTAAGGTAAAGATGTGTGATGTGTTTACGCTTCTAGTTTTGATGTATGACATTAATGAACTGAAATGACAAGAGAAGCTGTGTGATCAGTGTTTGTTCGTGCTCTGCTTACTGTACTTAGAGTCAAAATATACTTGCTGTGACACTGTGGTTTTGCTGCTGTCATAAGGGTCTCTCTAAATGAAATGCTGCCCTAGAAAATGTGTGTCTGTGTGGTCTCAGCAATGCAGACAATGAAGCTTTGTTTCTAGGCTGCAACCTGAACTCTGCTCACTTGTGACCGTAAACCAGGTCTGAAGGAAGTGTGAAGTCACAGAGCACATTTATGCTACTGGAACAAAACATAGGCTCTTTACTACATGTTTATTTAGATGACATTAAACTACTGCATGTTAAGCTTTACTTCTAGTATCAAACTACTTCATATAAATATGCTGTTGATGAAGTTACCAGTTAGTGCTTAAGATTACAGTTACAGTAGAGAAATCAAGGTTGATATGAGGCAGAAAAAACACACCAGTAACTTCATTATTCACTGTGAGTTCCCAACACTTGAAACATTGCTGCTACTGGTATGTTGTTTCTGCTGTTTTGTGCATTACGTTGGAGAATCTACAGTCCATCTACGGCTACTGATCTACCACTACAGCAATATTTACTTCACCAACTGTACCTGCAAACAGGCGCATCTGAAAGTCTATATTCTGCAAATCACAACAGTAAAGAATACACAAGCAAAGAGAGAAACGTGTCAGCTGAAAATCAAGGTTATGATCAAGCAAAACTAAATGCAAGACACATAAAGCACAGTGAAGCCCATGAAAAGGAAATCACAAGAAATAAAAAGAAGGATTTGCAAAAATGAGGCTGTATAAATGATCTGAGTACTTCACTTATGCAGCACGAGCTGAAAATTAAAGACAGACGTGGTCATCAGGAATCCAACACTGACCAGTGTGAGAAAATGTGTGAGAAAGAGCGACCGTGTAGAACAAGACGTCCCAAGTCAACCCCCTCTCTACTTCACAGAGCTGTAAGGCAATACAGCAGAGTTTTTCCTGGCTCAGAATGGGCTTTTGTGGGGCGACTGTGCACAACAGGAACCATGAAGTTGAGGCAATGAGTCTGTGTCACCTTGTTTGATCTATGATCTATGTATTTTCCTGGTATTCTGAGAACTTAAAAAACAGAAATGTGTAGTATTCTTGAGTAGTTTAAACCCCAAACAACAAAACTGGCATTCTTTTACACTCAGTTTTTATGTTGCCGCTGGTTAAAACCTCACTGGGGGGAGTCAAAAGTTCCTCTACACACGAACACTATGTACAGCACAATAAATGAACTCCACATTGCCTGTACAAGGTAAAATAAGTCTAGTCAAAGTTGAAGGTAGTAAGGTCCACCTTTCTTCGAGTGACTCTAAATTATCTGGTCTGATTTGAGTATTATTTCTTATAAGGAATTAGGTCAAGTAGGATTTAACATGTCACTCCAAAAAACACAGTCAATAACTAGGCCTACTGCTCTGACAACAGCTAAACACATTCATCAACTCTGGCTCAGCTGGACAACATCATGCCAAAGCAGGTGTCACGTTCAGAGGGGAAATCAAATTTAATCTAATTAGTCTAATTTAATTTAATTTAGTATTTAGCTTTAGCCCTTTCTTGTTGTGATTTGGTGTTTTCTTTTTTTGCTGCTGTATCGAAATCATTTCCCAGGTCTAGGATAAATAAAGTATTTCTATTCTATTCTATTCTATTCTATTCTATTAAAGTGTATTTTAAATACTTTTTCCTTTCTTTATTTGATATACAAAACCCATAAAAAGTATTTGCTCTTTCTGGAAGGTTTGCTTTTTTAAAATTTCCTTTCAACATTAAGTCACAGTGAATTTAATTTGGCGTTCTTTTTAAATATAAGAATTTACAGACTTTCTGGGTCTAAAAGACTCTTTTAGGCTCATCAAGTGATAAACCGTGCAAATTCTTGGCCAAAAAGCCAAATTAAATTGACCACGATTTAACATTTATTGTTACTTAAGCAAGCACTCCAATGTCAACTTGCACAGACCTTAAAAGTTACAATCCTTAAAATTGACATTCAATCAAACTGCAGTTTTATGCTGTTTATAGTCAGCAATATATTTGCATTCTGTAACTACGTGCCTGTTAGTATTAGTTTTCATTAATTATGGCACAGTCTGCCATTGAATCAAATTCTCTTCACAAGTTTACTGCTTATTTTAATTTCACAGCTGTATCAGGGTTTGTGTGAGCAGCTAATTCAAACCCATCATTTCCTTCTGCTGCTGCTGCCGCTTCACAATGAAAACCAACACAACACTGCATTGTTTTTTATTATCATTGGATCGTGTTATACTGGAGCAAGTAATAGAGCAGCAACAGCAAAGATGGGATTATGGTCTACTCAAACTGCATGTCAGATACCTTTGGAAATCCCCTCCCTCCTACACCTTTCTGAGGTTGGACAATGCGTCTGTGTCTCCTATTAGCTGAAACTTTCCGACTTCATGCCTTGGTTGGCCTGCAGAGGTGAGGGGAGCTGGGTGTTCTACTTCTCGTTATAGCTCTCTTTTGCAATTGCTGCTCAGCTATATTTGGGACTTTTCATGTGTACAACAAAAAGCTGCACTATCATTGTCTTCCTGTCTGAAAATGTGTGCAGTTTGGCAGTTGTTTAAATACCGTCTCCCCCTTGGTATAAACATTAAGCGCATCTGATTTCCAGTCTGGCGGGACAGAACTAGTTCTGACAGACCGTAATCCAACACTTTTCCTGTATTTGATGTATTTCCAGCCATCCTTTTTTATACTATTGTCAATTTGTGATTTAAAAAACCTGAATAGAGACACAGGATAGCTAAAAAAAAAAAAAAAAACTAAAATAAAAACGTTTAAATAAAGCAAAAATGTTGAGATGCAAAATTTGATGTATCAACATAAGAAAACATATAATCCAGGAAATGGTAAATAAGTAGTTTTAAAACATTACTTGATGTTATCCTCAATAACCAAGGGTGTCACCAAATTAAACAAGACAGAAATCTTAAGAATTATAACTCTAAGCAACTGATTCCACTATTTCTACTCCACTTCCCTTTGATCTGAAAAATCAGAAATGTCAGCGAACAATAAAGAGGAGGGCTGATTATGAATGAAAAAAGAGAAAGAGAGAAGCTCAGTCAGTAGCATGAGATGACTTCTTTCCCACAAAGATTTATTAAACATCTTACCTCCTGCAGTAGGTCTGCCTGCTCGATAGCTTTCAGTACATTCTTTTTGGACGTCTCCTGAGCTTCCCCTCCCAACAGGAATTCATCCAGAATGAAGTAAGCCTTCTCAAAGTTGAAAATAATGTCCAGCTCACAAACCTGTTGAACAATAAATGAAGTAATACTCATTATGAATTACACCTACTTTTAGTCTAGGGCTACATCCACACTAATACATTTGTTTTCAAACACATGACTTCTGCAACATTTATTCACACTCTTGGACTGCTATAACTTTTGGAGATGCAGCTAACCCCATGTTAGTTGGGCTTCTGTACAAGCAATTGTCATGCAGTTAAAGAAATCTCTGGTCTTACTGTTCGCCATTACTGTTCCTCAATAGTATTTCCTACAACTAATTAATGTTACATGGTTCTTTCAGGTTTGCTAGCATACATGGAGATTATTTTTTAAAACTGAGCTAAAATGTGCAGCTGGACAAAGATCATTTTCCTTTTAAAATGCATTATAAAATAAAAGCATATAAGCATTGATATTGCCAAAGCTCAACAAGTAACCACAGCATGGATGCAAAACATATCAGAGTGACAGCACAAACGCACACTGCCAAAGTATTTATCCAGCAGCTCCACATATCGATGGATGATCTCCAGTGTGATGAGCTCGTTGTCCTGGTCCTCTATGGCACAGCAGAAGTACAAGCTGGCATATCTGCAACACAAAGACAGGAGGACAACCAATTTCAACTCGACAGGCCAAATAATAAAAAGACAGCATTTTAAAAAAGCATCTTTCATTGCGAAAACTGCAGTGTCAAGTGAATGTAAAAGGAGCTGACTGCATTTTTATCACTTAGACAGGATCTTCAAATGATATACTGTCTGCCACCTCACTGTAAAGGCGCTGACAGAGCACTTCTCTGTTATTATTAAGGATTGCTGTTTACTGTGTACAGGGTATTCATTTAAAAGCCAGAAGCCGAATGCAGAAGGCTGAATAAGTTAAGCCCCATTCTGCCATGGTGCTTTATCCCTGATAATCCCGAAGGCACTCCTTAAGCATGTGATGATTGGCTAATAAAGGAGCTGGTCAGTTGATCCCTTGCAAGCAGAGGGGCAGCAGAGCACAGTGGACTGCGCTGTACATTTTAGACAGAACATACTGGGGCAAGTCTGAACCATAGCACAACAGCAGCTTGTTGGGAGCACTGATCTGTCACCAATTTGACTGATTAATTTGAATTCCTGATTGTTTTTGTGATCCACTCCATCCCTGCCTACTGTTTGTGCAAATGAATGCATGATGCAGCCAAGCTCAGAAAACACAAAAGGGTTCAGTTCAGTTCAGTTGCTCAATTGCCTGTGGTTTATAGAAGTGAGGCAGCCTTTTTACCGCGGCAGACTCACACCAACATGCACAATGAGAGGAAGCGAAGGGGTCAAACCTTTGAAAGCAAATTATGTTTCATGTAGAGGAGGTTCCCAAAATAATACGCATTATTGTGTTGCGCTGATGACACAGTTACACACTGTTTTACTTGTGGATTTATCCTTGAAAAATATTGTTCGCGTAATGTTGACTTTTAAGAACTATAATGTCGTTTTTTCACATAACAAGAGACCTCAGAGTCTTACTTGGTGCCACATTTTGGGTTTTTTTAAAATTTATTTTGAAAAAGTCTAAGCAGATCCATAGCCTTATGTCTGATTGTAGACAGACTTTGACTAGTTTTATCAACTAATTGATTTATTGCTAATTATTAAATTTCCTATCAATAATTTTAAAAACAATGAATAATTCTGAGTAACCTTTTCAAGGAAAAAAAAGGTCAAAATTCTCTGATTCCAGTGTCATAAACATTGACTTTTTCACCATTTTCTTATATTATATCCACCCAATCAAAAGAATCATCAACTAATTAACTGACACTGAAAACAATTGTTAGTTGCAGCCTTAATTCTGACACAGACATGCTACGGTATAGATTTTACAGATTCAGATTGCAAAGGCACCCGGTCTTAGCGTTAGTCCTTGTTTGGTGGCAAAACAACAAAACAAAACACATTTAATACGGGTGAGCGTTTAATAAGGTGCAGCATCTGAAGTTTATCATCTGGTGGAGAAGATCTGGTCATTAAGACAACAGCTGCAACACCTAGTTAATAATTCATTTGGTCAAAGAACAGAAAATTAATTCATTATTTTTCAAGTATATTTGCTATTCAAATGTGACCATTTGGTGCTCTTTTGTCATATTTAATAGAAGCATGATCCTATTTTTGCATTTTGGGCTCATTGTCTAAAAAATTTTTAGTCAATCACCTTAAATCTGTGGTAAATTAAAAATGGCATTTTTCTGTAATTTCTGAAGTAAAACATTTCATCAACCCTTGACATGTTGGAAGTCTTCAGAGAGACAGGCTGCATGTTGAAACATTTGTTGCTGCACCTGATTAAACCCTCTGGTTTACAGCTGCGTGCCGTTTCAACATACAGCACATCTTCATGTTACATCCTTTGGTTGCTGCACCTTATCAAAAGCTTAACAAGGCACTCCACATCTCATATTTCCAGGTCCCTTTTCACTTTTTATATTTCATATGTGTGATTGTACACTGTGGACAGCCAACACATCAAACAGCAGCCACTGTTATTGTCTTTGATGTATTAAAAACTATTTCCACTTGATGTCCTGAGGCTCGGTTGGGTGTACCAACCATCTATCTGCAAATGTGACCTGACACCTTATTATTCCCAACTCCTCTCTAGCTCTTTCTCTGTAGAGAATACATACAATAATTACATATTCTGACCTCCTCAGTACAACCTAATCGCTATTGAATGATGATATTATTCCTTAACTTAGCATTGAAGATGCAACAAGTCAAATTAACATTAACAGGAGCTTAAGTTCAGTCTGTTGCTTCCAGCTCTTTGTAGGAGTCCTTCCTCTGAGTGTATACCAAAAATATTCTAGACTACAACTTATTTGGACAGTTTGAGTATAAGTTTAGATTTAGTAGTTTGTTAATTAGTGCATTATTATGCTTTATACATCCCTTGACAGATAAATACCATGGTTTTCTCTGTGGTGGGTATATCTCACTGAAAATGTGAGGAGCAGTAATGCAAGAGTGGCCTATGTCTGAACAGCAGAATGCCCTCACTTCAACAGATTGATGAAATGTTATGTCGCCCATGTCTAAAAAAGGGCTTCAGTGACCACTCAACTGTTACATGAAACAACAAAACAAAACCCAGACACTTTAAATTTATTTAACTGTAGGGGTCGAACAAACATCTGGTTGCAAAATCTCTGACTGATCAGCAGCTCCAGTGCTGTGTTTGTCTGTCCCCGCTGGGTCACTTGGGTTCACAGATAGTCTGCCTGCTTGTCCGTTGGCACGGCAACAGGATATAATGAGGCAAAATTAATGCTCTTTCTTGTTGTAGTCTGCGAGCAGCCATGATCCCTTTGGTATCACTCTCTCCTGATTCCCAATGAATGATGTGTCTCTGAATTGCCCGGGGAAGTGTGAAAAACAGAAAACACTTTGTTCATAATCAAGTCCAATTTCTACCCACCTCTTATACACGATCTTCAGGTCTCTCCACTCCAGAAAACTGCACATCTTGGGTTTCCGAGCCAGGACTGTCTGCACCAACTCTCTGGTGATTTTCTTTTTCTCCTTATCAGACAAAGGCACGTACCACTTCTGAAGCCTGAGCTTTCCTTGTCGACTGAACAGAAGCATGAACTGCATCTGAAATGAAGAGATGGAGTAAAAACACAAAAAACAAAACAAAACAAAAAAACAGAGGTGTCGTGAATGGAAAGATGAGAGGACAGAGTGGGTGGTTAAAGATATCTGCAGAAAGAGACGAAAAACATCCAAAAGAGCACTTTTTATGTCATCATGCATGTAGTTATTCTGATTCTGACAAGTTGAATTGAGGATGTTATTACAGCAGTACATATGGTACAAGAAATGCATGGCAAATTAAGTTCAGTCATGTCAGTGAAATTGAGGAAATCAATAAAAAGCATTACACCTGATGTAATACTGTGATCGAGAATGCCAACAGGATAGTGAGTTGGTGTTTGTGTACTGGCTGCTGCTGCCATGTGTTTGAGATAAACAGCGCACGACTTAACTTCAGGGTCCAAATTAGACTGAGCAGTTAACCAGAAACAACATATAACGTGTTTTTAATCCACAACACATTGAAACAAATGCCGTTTTCACTCCCTGTTTAAAAGCCTGTTATGTTCAGTTAGCTACACCACTTCACCGTTATCAACACAGCCCGACGGAAGTACACCGTTATTCAGCGGTTAGCATTAGCACGTCCTGCCACCGGTTTGCTTCTTTAAAACACCACTTGCGGCCAAAGCGTGTGTGTACATTTTGAATTCAAGAGAAAATTACACAAGCTCGAAACTACTTACCTTGAATTATAACACTGTTTTCCCCTCTGAAGAAATGAGCCACCCAACGCCACCCTGAAACACCGACAGTTGACATCGAGCTTCTGATTGGCCACTCCGGGGCTCACGACGTTTCTTATTGGCTGACAGGTTTCGACAGTGCCCGCCTTTTCGGCGCTTTAACTTAGGAGCCTAAACGTGATTGGCTGCTTTGGAACGCAATCACAAAATAGTTCCGCCCATTTGAAGTTCATGGGCGGAACTGGTTGATTTTAAACTGAATGTTTAAATAGAAGCGGAGAAATAAGTGACTTTATCAAGGCGAGGAATAAGAAATGCACGACTTTAGAATCAAAAGAAAGTGATTAATATTGGCTTTCACAACAGACAGCACTATAAATCATTTATAAGCTTGTATTGTATTCAGAAAGTGGGCAACAAACTACTGTTATACCTGTCTAGAGGTATTTGCTATTTATGCCTCCAATACAACACAGTCGTAAATATATAATGAGCGCTGTGTGTGTGATTGATACGGGTAAATGATAGCATGTGTCCACACTTTAGAAAAAAAAATGGAACAGCAAGCCTAATTTCTTGATGAATTTGTTCTTATTTCACAGATTTTCCCGGTTTTGGTAAATTACAGATGATAACTTGGAAAAATTATATAAATTCTTTTTAAATGTAGTGGTTAATCAGAAAAAAAATCACAACACAGTTAATCAAAATATATATTTTATAAATATGGTATTTTTTCTTTTATGTTTTACTGTAAAATTAGTGGGGGTTTTTTCTTACAGTATTTAAGTCAGCAAAACATATGATTATTTTACAGATATTTGAATGAAAAATATTTTATTTATCCCAGAAGGGAAATTCAATATTTGACACCATTAAAAAAAAAAAAAAAAGTACACTAAGGACTGGAAAATTACACATTTTAAAAACTGGTATTTTACAGATTTGCCCCATTGTGGTAAATTACAGATAGCATCTGATAAAATCATAGAAAAAAAAGCATTAATTTACATGTTGACTGTGAAAATACAGATCAAAGTTGTGCATGATGTACACATCAAAAAAATTATTTTATTACAAATAGTTGTTAATCATGCGACGATCCCTCAGATTTATCTCATGTCTGTACATAAAACTGGATATAAAACTGCAGCAGCTACAACAGTAACATGCTGCTGACCCAGTGATGCTTCACTACTAATAAACTAATCATGCCACATATAATAACATGTCAGTCAGAGGGACCAAACTACTACTACAAACTAAAAGTACTTTAACTACAGTCAGCTGCTAGTACTTACAGTATGTACCTTTACTTCAGTAGGATTTCCTAACAGCACTTTCACTTTAATGTAGCACATCGCTGTATTGGTAATTTTACTCAGATAACTGATCTGAACACTTCCTCCACCACTAATCCTAAAACATTTTTAAGAAAGATCCTCCTTGACTACGTCTTTGGCATAGACCGCTGTCATCAAGACTGACACTCACTGCTAATTTATGAGGTGCAGGTATTTAGTACAGTTGCAGTAAAATGGAGCAGCCTAGGGGAGGTGTCTAAGGGCCAATAAAGAGCATTAGATGAGGCCATCGTGGGCCCGTGGATTACAGTAATCCTATCCACCAGCGTTGGGTATCACACACTCCTCATTCCAGCACAGCTGAAGACGAAGATGGAGGTCACCGCTCGTCGTGCTGCTGTGCTGCTCCTCCTGCTTCTATCTCAGGGTAAGTCACTGTGCACCTGCGTGAGGGATAATATTACTGGAATTTGCCTTAAAAATTGCAACTACACTCACTTTCTTGTCTACGTAATTGCATCTTTATGTAATCGTGCTAAAGAGTGCATAAGTAAAGAACACAGCAATGAAAGTAGTGCACTGAAATGCTGCTGCAATAAAATGAAACTGGTTCAGCTTCATCTGTCAGTGACCAGCAAGCTTTTAGTGTTTGTGGTTGTCATTTTTCTGTTGCAAGCTTCTTCTAGACGCATGTAATTATCTACAAATTAGACACATTTATTGACTTCATGCTCACATTTGCAAAAAAAGAAAAAAGAGGTTTATCTCTCACAGGTTACTTTTAGTTCATTTTCTTCTCTAATGTTTTCTTTTCCCTGTGGTCTCGGCCTGCACATTTTTTTTCCACCATCTGCTTTTACGTTTCATGCATCTGTTGATGTGGTGTAGCCCTGCTCACTGTTCACTCACAGGAGGTAAGACAAGCTCCTAAAAGAAAGCGATGTGATTTTAGTCAATTCTGAGAGCAACCTTGGATTCACTCCCCCCTGTGTGTGTGTGTGTGTGTGTGTGTGTGTGTGTGTGTGGTTGTGTGTTTTCTTCAGGAGGAGGAGGCCGTCCAGGAGGAGGAGCTGCAGGAGGAGGACCAGCAGGTGATCGAGACATGGACGAGGAACATCAAAGCCTGCACCTGCGACTGTGAATCTGCTGATTCACCGACACGCAGCCCTGCTGTCATACCAGCTGTCTTGCCGACCTCACCACCACCGCCGCCGCCACCTCAGGGTCACCCACTGACCTGCATGCCAGGTGAGGATTCCACCTGGGCCACTGCACCTGACCTGGACTCACTTTGTAGTCCCTCTGCTGTGAAAATGGAGATTTTTGTACCTTGTTAACATTCCATATGGTGCTTTTTATACGCCAGAAGACACATAATGAGCAAAAATAAGCAGTGTATGCCATGGATGAGCACGTTCACCTTAAGACCTTTAGTTTACTGATGGCGGTCTTTGAAACACAGATTCAGACTTCCAGGGTGTCATATGTAGCAAAACTAAGAAACCAGCAATGTTAGCTTGCAGGATGAGGCTTTCTGCATCATTATTCTTCCTCACAATCTGCTTTTGGTTCAAACATACATAGCAGAATAACCCTAAAAGTACAACTTGCCATTTTGCAGCATGGCAGAATATTGCTAAAGCCATTTTAAGGTAGGAAGGGACTTTTTTTTTTCATGCAAAAAACTTTGCATGCTCTGATACACAGAAATTAGTTATTAGGGGTTAAATCAGCAACCCTAGAGGGATTTTAGTACTCCTTATATAAACTCAGTTCAATCTTTGCTCAGTCTGGGCACATCTGCAGCAGAGCAAAATCCCCACCTCTTTGATCTTAAGATTTTTCAACTAACTTCTCGCTGTAAGATGAGAGGGGCTCGCACCGACACTTCACTGTTTGGAAATGAACAACTGTGAAGAAGAGGCCTGGAACGGCAAATGCTGTTTAGATAATCTCATTACCTGTGCAGGAATGTGATGAGCAGATTAGGGAGCCCAAAATAGGGCGTGCCCTTCACCTAATAGCATGATACTGGGCAAGGAAGCGCACATCAGATGATGCCCCGGTCATCTTCTTCCTCCTTATCACGCAAGCCTTCCGAGTATCAAATCTCACTGTAAGCAAGATGAACCCAGGCAGGAAAGCCGGACTCTACACGAGAACAAAGTTGGAACACAATTTAAATGTTGTGCTATTAGTCTAGAGACTATTGACAAGTTTTAATGTCAGGGCAAAAAAAAGCGTCCAGTTTCTGCAGGTCAAATGAACTGTTTAACCCTCTTTGGTCATTGATTTAACCCCTAAAAACTAATCTCTGTCTATCAAAGGTACACGGTTAGAGGGTTTTTCCTTTAAATAATCCCTTCCTGCTTTAAAAAGGCTTAGATGTAAATCAGTCGTACAAGTTTGAACCAGAAGCCGATTCTGAAGAAGAAGAATTATAAGAGAAGCCCCACCCTGCAATTTGACAGGATTGTTTTATTGAGTTTGTTGCAGTCAAAACTCAGAAAGACTAAATCTGTATTTTTGAGATTGTCATCACTACACTGCAATTTCAAGGCAGAGATGCTCAGCAATTTGGGTTGACTGCTTATTTCCCTCAGAATGTGTCTTCTAGCATGTAAACAGCACCATCTGGACATATTAACAAGGAAAAAAACTAGATTTTCCCCTGCAGGTGTCTTTAAAAAACACATGTAAACCTCTTACCCTGTCCTTCTCAGAATGCCCCTACCACGGAGCCCTGGGCTTTGAATCTGGATCCGTGACTTCGGACCAGATCAGCTGCTCCAATCAGGACCAGTACAGCGGCTGGTATTCCTCCTGGATCCCCAACAAAGCTCGCCTTAACAACCAGGGCTTTGGGTGAGTCATGACAGCCCACCTCCGGTTCATGACACACATACTGCAGATGCTGCAAAGAAATAAAAGAAAAAGAATACATGTGTCATTTTGGTTAGGTGTGCGTGGCTGTCTAAGTTTAACGACCAGTACCAGTGGCTCCAGATCGACCTGAAGGAGGTGGGCGTGGTGTCCGGCATCCTCACTCAGGGCCGCTGTGATGCTGATGAGTGGATCACCAAATACAGCATCCAGTACCGCTCTGTGGAAACCCTCAACTGGATCTATTACAAAGACCAGACAGGAAACAACAGGGTAGCTACACAAAATATTAGCTAGTTACTGTCAGTCTATTCATGTATGAGTCCTCCAGGCTTCATTAATGTGACAAACATCACCACCTTTAACTTACTGCAACTCCCAAACCTTTCACTCACTGCACCGCTTATCACAGTTAACCTTCAGTTAAAGCTGTTCAGTGATGTTTTTCCATGACCTCTCTGAAACGTCTTTGAAAAAGCAGGTAAATAGTTTATTACTCTTTAAAAGAGGAACATATTAATGTAAGAAGACTATATATGCCAGCATTTACAAGGAGAATTTTCTATGGAGACCTAACACTAACTTTAAAGAAAGTGGAATTGTTTTAGTATTTTGAACTAATTCTGTTTATCAGATTTTCATCCAAAAGAATATTTTTGATTTGCGTTCTTCTGCATATCACATATATTTTAATTTTTGCCTTTATGAAAATACACTAAGCTAAATACTTTCTCAGAAAAAAGTGACACAATAGTTTAAATTGACTTTTTTGGTGTGTGTTTTTTTTTTTTTTTTAAATTTTTAAAACTTAATCTTAATGAGTCAGTTAGTACATATGATGCAGTCTTTGAATTCATACACAAACACAGTGGGATTCAAATATAGAAAGATGTGTGTTTAAGAATTTGTCATCAGATCATTTGTACCTCTAAAGTGTAAATGTGCTAACAATAACTCCGTGTTCTCTGTAGGTCTTCTATGGAAACTCTGATCGCTCCTCCACGGTGCAAAACCTTCTGCGCCCTCCTATAGTGGCCCGTTACATCCGCCTGCTGCCGCTGGGATGGCACACCCGCATCGCCGTGAGGCTGGAGCTGCTGATGTGCATGAACAAGTGTTCCTGAAGTGCACCCCGCCTGCTTTCTCCTCACCGTCCATCCTTCCCCTGCCAACCAGCCACTTGCCAAAAGGGGAACATTGGTTCAGCACTGAAAGATCCATGATGTTACTTTGACATGACCTTCATTCCTTGAACACATCTTGTGTTTCTTTGGTTGAGGCTCGAAGCACATTTTGTGTCACTTGATGCACTATTTATCTGTCTTAAAGTCTGCAAAAATATATTGTGCTAACGTGTAAACACAAAATTAGACACTTTCCTCAATGCATTCCAGCTCAAAATGCAATCAGAAGGCCTCTGACCTTCAATAAAACTAAAGGAGTTCCAAAACAAAGAGAAGATTTAATGACTTATTCATAAACTTTCTTTGAATATCAAGAAATAAAACAGATTCTACAGATTAGGAGTCAAATCAAATGAGCTTGTTTTATTTGAGATTTACTGGTACATATGTAAACATGAATATTCTAAAATTGTTAAGCATTCATCTGTGGGTTTATGTTCTCATGTAAATGCTCTGTTGGAAAAAAACAAAAAAGCAGATAAACACTGACTATGCTACTAATTTGTGTCTGTAATAAAAGCACAAACTTAATACTTGATTTCATTTAAACAGCTGATAAACATCTTCTGTTATAAATATTACCAAACAAGTAGTCACACATCAGTATTAATATAATACACGGTGCTCCTTCAGCAAAACAATAAGAGAGAAATGTATTGTGTCGAGTACAGAGTGTGCACAGTCCTTACAGATGCACAACACACAATACGGTACGGTCTTGTCTGGACCCAGCGCGTTACTGCGGAGTTTCAGTCTTCACACACTGTGCACGTGATGAACATGAAGTGAGGAAGAATTTACAGAGTCGGAGCAATATTGCTGAGCCACACAGTCTCTTGAAAGTGCAACATTAAAAAAGGTTAGGATTTAGTTCTGCCAAGCTACTCTCATGGCACTTTATTTCCAACAGAACACAATGTTACAGTACAGATTCTGCCCCCGCCGTGTTTCCACTTTAAGGTTTCTTAAAAGCTCGTCCCAAGTGGTTCAGTATGTGCAAACAGTTAAAAATACAGTAGAGCAGTGATTCCCAACCAGGTGTAGCTGAAGGGATTCTTCAGTGGGTGCACATGGAAAGACTGTAGCTGAGCTAACTTGAAAAAAAAACCCCCAACACATTATAATTTGATTAAAGTCAGTAGTAACAACATCAGTTTGGTATGAGAAGTTAGCAAGTAGAGAAGTGTGAACAATTAATGTTCGTGGTAGAGATGTTTAACTGATAGGGCAAATGGTGAAAAAGCTAAATAAAACTGACAGTTAAAATAGTTAGCTAGCTGAGAGATGGTGAAAAAGTAAAGACAGGTGGATAAACAGTTGACACAACTAGCTAAAAGTTCTGAGGAAATGGTTGAAACAGCGAAATTAATAAATGAAATGATGAAACAGCTAATCGTTGAAAGATTTAGCTAAAGGTTTGAAGTAGTGGCTAAAAGAGTTAGCTAAAAATAATAGATAAAACAATAAAACAGTTACAAGTACAGAAAAAAGTAGATGACTTTTTTTTTTTGCTAAAAGTATGAAATAAATGGCTAAAACACTTAGCTAAAAGTAATAGTTAAAACAATGAAACAGCTAAAAGTACAGAAAAAATGGTCTAAAAAAACTTAGCTAAAAGTATGCACTAAATGGCTGAAACAATGAGCTAATAGTAATGTATAAGTGGTTGAAACAGTGAAAAGTAATAAAGAAAATCCATCCATTATCTACACACCGCTTAACCCTCACTAGGGTCGCGGGGGGGCTGGAGTCTATCCCAGCTGACTCAGGGTGAAGGCAGGGGACACCCTGGACAGGTCGCCAGTCTATCGCCAATCTATCGCCGCACTTTGGGCCACACTTTGAGACAGACAAGCAAGCACACTCATATTCACACCTACGGACAATTTAGAATCACCAATTAACCTCAACATGTTTTTGGACTGTGTGGGAGGAAGCCGGAGAACCCGGAGAGAACCCACGCTGCACGGGGAGAACATGCAAACTCCATGCAAAAAGATTCCGGTTCCCCCACCAGGACGCGAACCGGCAACCTTCTTGCTGCGAGGCAACAGTGCTAACCAACTGTGCCACCTTGCAGCCCCGTAACAAAGAAAAGAAAAAAAATGAAAAAATGATCAAAAAGCATGAAATAAATGGCTAAAACAGTAGCTAAAAGTAATAGATAAGTGGTGAAAACTGCCAAAAGTAATGCACAAACAGTTGAAACAACTAACGAAGTCTATAAAAGGTATAAAATTAGTTAAAAGTAACAGAAAAATGGCTCCAACTGCTAAAAGTGTTCAATAAATGGTTAAAACAGTTAGCTAACAGAATGAAACTGTTGAAGTGTCCAGCTCTTTTCACTCATAAGTGGTGACACAATGAATGCTAATGTGACAAAATTGACAGTTTAATTGTATGAAAATTACTTTAACATGATCCACTTTCCTCCAATAAAAGAAAAGTAGTGTTAAATGACTAAAGGGGTGACAAAATCGTGTTTGTCTCAGAGGGCTGTGGGAGGACGTCAGACAAAAAAAAAAAGTTGGGAGTCACTGCGCCAGTACACCCAGAATGGCTTTTAGGTTCCTCTAGCTGCTGTAAAAAAACAACCTTCGCACATCGACTGAGGACAAAAAACACTATTCATATCTTATAGGAAATTTTTTTTTTTTTTTTTACAGCAGTTAAAGTTTATATAGTGTTTTGGATGTATGTCTTTAACCTATTAAACAGCTAGAACCACTTGGAAGTAAAGCAAAAAAATTGCCTTCATTGAACCCTGTTAGTTATCAGAGAGAAACACATCCTTTAGTATAAACATCATACGTTCCTGTCATTAACTGGATCCTTGATGTTTGCTTAAAGCGGTGCAAAGTATCAAGGTTGTACTACTATATAATTCATCTATAAGGGTGTGTTATGACACTTTTACAGAGATAAACATTTTGGTAATACGTTTTTATACGGTTTGCTCTACTTGAAACGATTAACCACAATTTTAATTGTATATTATTGGTTTATAATATGAAAATGATGATTTAAAGTCAGTGCCTACATGTCAGTGCTCGACAAGCTCAGTCAGAAGACGGTAAATGCAGTGCTTCATCATCTCCCACAGAGGGCGATGTTGGTTAGGGTTTCTGTTAGTTTATGGCACCATAGTTTCTAAAATGGCTGCATTTCATAAAGACATAAAAAACCTAAATATCCTTTAAAAAAAAGAAAAAAGAAAAGAGCGATCAAGTCTAAGCTTTCAGATTGTCAGTGCCAATTCACAGAAACTGCCCATACTACAGCTATATTTTAAGAACATGAGCGGTTGCACATTTGAGCATCTGTAACCAGTCTGACAGCACATCCAAAGGCAAGACAGCTTGGACAGAGTTACAATCCTGGGTGAGATGAACACAAGTTACTGACATTACCAACCTCTATTGTAACAACTGATAAAACTTTGTTTAGAATGCCTTAGAATAGTCTTAAGGAAATACTACGCCGTAAAATGTACTATATTTCTATATTTAATAGAAACAAAAATACTTACACTTAAAATCTACACTTTATCTATCCATTTATATATATTTAATTTGTAATATATTTACTTTATAATACAAATTATAATCAGAATTACATAAGTAATAATATAAAGTCTATCAAACATGGAAGCTTTAAAAAAAATTTAAGACGTAAAAAGGCTTTTGGCCCATTTGCAAGCAGTGTGTAAAACTGAAGGTTTGGTATCTGTGTGTTTATATGTGTGTGTGTGTGTGTGTGTGGTAATGTGTGTTGAGCAGGTGTACTGTTATACAAGGGAGGAGCAGGAGCATCAGAGGGGAAAAAAAAGGAGTCTGAAGTGGATGTGAGAGCTGCAGGCTGATGGAGATCACAGAGCCGTCTCTTTCAGGTCGTTGAGGTTTGGCATACGAGATCTGGATGGGCGTCCGAAGCCGTGCCCGTTCTGGCCTCCCTTGATGCTCATTTGCTCGGGGTAGGGGTTGCCCTCAGGGCGGCCCAGGGCGGACGTGTGCCAGCCGGACTCCAGCTGTCCGGGCAGCGGGTACGCTGTCTGTCGGCTCTTGAGCTGGGGCGTGCTGACCCCTGAGTGACCTCGACTCTCAGTGAAACCACCTTGAGCAGAGGCTGAGTTAGGCAGCGGCTGGTAGCGCATGTCAGAGGAAGGGTTCTGGTTGGAGGACGAGGACGAGAGGTGCAGGAGCTTGCGCAGTGACTTCAGTGGCTGACTCTGAAAAACACGTTACATATGGTTGACATATTTAAAGTTCCTTTCTGGCTGTAACCCCTAAAACCTCAACTCTGTGTATGAAAACTTCATATCAGGAAGGTTTTCTATTAAAATACGTCCTTCCTGCCGTACTGAATAGCACTTTGGCTCCACGAATGCTGTTTTCAATGCGTAAAATAAATAACAGTGAGTTGAATTGACTTAAAATGAGGTATTAGTTGTAATTCTATATTTTTGCTTCCTATAAAATGTTCGGAACTGTGCAGCTCAAGCACACCAGCTTATCTACGACTCTGTTCTAACACTGCAAAACTACTCTGCACTACACAATAGCAAGTTGCACAATTGTAGTAATTCAGCCATAAATATTCGGACCGGAAACCGATTCTGAGGAAGAACAATGATACAGAAACCCTTCAAGTTGACAGGATTGGATCCTAAGGTATATCACACATGAAGAAGACTATGTGCTTTTAAGAAGTTCAGAAAGAAATTCACAATTAGAAGACTGGTTTAAAAACACTGCATAACCAAATTTGAAATTGGTTTAAATATATATGATCATAAAACACTCATGTTAAAATACAGTAAATGTTAAAATACAGTTAAATCCACACATTACTTGATGTAGAGCTACAATAATATGACTGCAGTAAGTAACTGTATTTACATTTAATGTGCAATTAAAGGGAAAATAAGACACTTGGATGGGGTTTTCATTATGTATAAGGGGTCATACTTATTTGCAGTAGTATACACAGTATGTGCAGTATTTAAAATAATCCCCTGTCAGTGTTTTTATTTAATTCAAAGATTTTTCACCTTATGGTTGATGGCTAACACCGAAGGTTTTGACAAGAGAAACTGATGAAACAAATTGAACTGTCAAATTAAAGTGCTGAACTTGGAAATAAAGAAGGAAAAAGAACATACTGTTTGGCCATTTAGTGCAATCCAGTCAAATACTCTGAGTAGATGGATCAATCTCTTTCAAGTGGAGAAGCTGCACAGATTCTTAAGAAATAACTTGACAGCTAGACTCCAGTTTCAAGGTGGAAACACACAGAGGTGTCACTGACTGCTTATTTCCCTCATGGTGTGTCTTCCAGCTTATAAAAAGCACTGTATGTGACCGATATTTAAAAAAAAAAAAGAAAACTCACAGAGGGGCTCCTCAAATGAAACCTTTTAAAACAACAAGCAAATACTTTAATTTTCTCGTGGAGACTCACTGGAGAGTGTGAATCAGACAGTTTCTCAGGCGGCCAATCCTTGTCCCTGTCCCGGTCTCGCTCCTGGTCCCGGTCTCTGCTCTTGTCACGAGACCTGTGGCGGCTGCTCTGGTGACTCGAGGACCTGGAGGACTTGTGTGTGTCCATGCCTTCATTAGGAACCTGTCATACAGAGCACGTAGGTATAATTCAACCTGTCCAGTCAGTTCAACTGATTTCTATCTTTTAAAGGTAGTTGTGCACAATGTTAAGGACAACAAGAAACACACAGAATATGTCAAAATGTTTTCTCTGAGGTGAAATAAACTATAGGTTGTTCCATCAGTTTAACTAAACCTCATAATGTGCTTCAGGAAACAGATCAGTGTGTTTCATGTTAGCCTTTACACGTGTTCAATTATCTCTGACATAAGTGAAGTTATTTTGGGTAATTGATTGGTCTCAAGTGAAGTGAAATCTTAAAAGCAAAAGTAAAAACATGACATGCATCTGGAGTCAAACCCTGAGCATTGTCTGATCTGAGGAAGAGAAGAGACAACTCCACTCGTTTCTGACAGATAAATGATGCGTTTTAAATGTGAAGGTTTAGCATTTTCTCCTCTTCAGGCAGTAAACACTGTTTTCCACCAGCTCGGAGTCTGACTGCCTGATTCCTCCTGGCCAGATTGCGTTTATTTGTGCTCTGTCATCAGCAGTAACCCCCCCACCCTCCCTCAAGAAACTGAACAAACTGTCACATATAAATAGAAATGTGAGGGGAAGAAAGAGTCTCAAACACCTGTTTCATGCTGAACCATTGCTGCCACAGAGACGGCAGTCAGTTTAACTAAAGGTCAAAATGTGGTGGCTTTCATATTTAGCAGCTATTTTTGCACTGATCTCTGCTCTGTAATCACGTATTGAGTTTAAACACATTTAGAGAAGTTGATCAAATGCTTCTGGTAGGTAATGAAGCTTCATTTGAATGTAACCAGGCACAAAGACTCCTAAAATCTCATGTGCTTAACTAAAGCCTGAGCGCTCTCGTTCATCCTCAGCTCATAACCAGAGACATGCTGTTAGGGCTGTGGCTGAAATCACTGAAATCAGATGGGCCAAACACAAAATGACCCGTCAGATCCATCCGTTTAACTGGAGAAGGCTGTGATTTTTCATTAAACTGAATGTTGTAGAGGTAAAAGCCGACTGCAATCAAATATCTGCAACCCAAAGGTTCCAAATAGGAGCATTTTTGCCTATTTGTAGGTGCTGCTTTGTGCTAAAACTGTACCTGTGTAGATGGATCTGGCTGGTTTATGTTAGCAATTCATTATCAAACACAATTCAGCATCATTGTAAAATTTTCAAATAAAACCAAGCGTAGAATGGCACAGTAAAACGGTGTTGATTAATGTTGTTAATGCATGCCATGTTAGATGGGTGACGTGGAGGTGGTGGGTGAGTACGATAGTGTAAAACAGCATGTACCATGGGAGAGGACACTACAGGGAGGACTCTCACAGAGGAACTATGCTTTATGTTATTCTTTGGGCTAAACAGAGGGAAAAGACATTTCTTGATGACAGGAGGCCTTCCTTCAGGGACGTCCATCTGTAATATAGAGGCACATGACTGGTGGGGCACAGGTAAACATGATGCACATGACAGCAACAACAACAACAACAACAACATCAACAAGGGTGTCAATAGGATAAAAACATTTGAAAAGCAGAGGAAGCGATACAGCGTGTAGACAGATGACTTAACAAACAAGATATTGACATTAAAAGTTATTTTCAGAAAATGCTGCATCCAAAAATGGCTTCCGTCCTCAGATGCACTTTGCAGACAACTTACCATTTGAGATTTTTTCTTTTTCTTCTTTATTGCTCTGAAGAAACCCTGTTTCTCCTTTTCTTTGGATGGCTCAGAGGCATTTAAGACTACAGTATCTGGGCCAGTCCTGAAAATAAATCAAAGAGTACCAAGATGATGTCCCAGCTAAAAAGTAAGCATCCGAATAAGACGTGACAATTTTTGCCATCGTGGCATGTGACCAGCATAAGATTAAATCTGACAGTAAACTGTCCCGACAGCAGCAACAGACAGTGACCAAATTAAGCATTACACAACTATTTTTGGTTGTTGGAGGATATAATTACCAGGGGTCAAAGGCAGGCTGACGTTTCGAGTGATTTGTCAAACCGCTGCCGTCCCCCGATAAGCCAGAGCCCCGACTCTGACCTCTGCTATCATGGAAGGAGTTGTCTGGCCGGGGAGAAGGGACTGTTCAACAAACACAACAAACAGGTTCATTCACCTTTCACATGCAAAGAGATATAAACAAACTGTTTCCAAAAGTAGCAGGTTAAACCCTGCATTATCTGTAATAATGAAGCCGAAGCCTTTTCATTTTGGCTGTCACTATCTTGGTCTTTTGTAACTGGATGTGATAAGTGTCGGGTGGATCTAACTAAAAACTTGAGGACACAATGCATGCCCAGAAGACTTGTCAATCACATGGTAGTGCCACGCATACCCTGCTTTATTATCCAGATGGAACCACAATTTACAAAACGAACATTGCGCAGTATTGAAGGAGATGTGAAGCTAACAAGTGAGACCACAAACTTCTTAGGAAAATGCTCACTGAGACAACAAATCAAATGAGAAGGAGGGTCAATTTCACTTAGATTTTCATATGATCAGATTTATTTCTACAACCACAGGAGTCGCCACCTGCTGGCTGTTAGAAAACATGCAGGTTTAAGGTACTTCAGCATTAGATGAACTTTTTAAACCCAGAAACTATGCCCATCTTTTATACATAGTCTACGAATAACAACAAAGATCTGTTTGAAGAAATTACAAATAGTGTCTTTAGTCTGAACAACAGAGAGCACTGAGAAGTTTTTTGTTTTTTTTTTTACTGTAAAATATCTCACTGAGTGCATGTAACTTTTTAGTCAGACTTTAAGTGTAACTAGACATGGCCCTTTGGTGTTGATTTGGTTGATTTTTTAGTTTTGTACCTAAATAGGAAACGTGTGTAAGTGGAGAAAATGTGCAAACTAACAGCCTGTTAATGTTGTGTAATGTTGAGTATGTTAGCATGCTGATATGTCTCAGTCATCCAGGTCATGGTAATTCTAAATGTTTAAGTAAAACTTTTTCGATCCTTGAATGTCTTGCACTTCTCATTTAAGAAGCTTCTCTGATCCAAATACCTCGTGGGGAGTCCCAGGCATTCCTTCTCACAGCTAAATTAAATGACACACAGGCTGTAATGAACTTAGACAAGATTTAAGGTGTGAATGGTGGTGAAAGTGCATTGAGAGGGATTTCAGGACTATGTTATAAACACCTGACAAGTAGTGTCATAGACTCAGCCCCACGGTCATCTCTAAATGGAGAACGTCTACGACACCACTTATCAGGTACTTAGAACATTGTCCTGACATCCTTTCTCAGATAGTTTCACCATCATTAACAGCCTTATTTTAGGAGCAAAAAAGTACATGGGACTTTCACTCAGCATTTAGAACCACGGAAGCCTCTTGGATAAGAGGTGAAACATCTTCAATAACTGAAAAAGAAGTCGAGTTGCTTTCTACTGAAAGGCTGAATGATTAGCATGCTGATGTTAGCATTTAGCTAAAGGCACCACTTTATCTAAATGTCATCTCATAAAGTCATTTCTTGAACTTTTGCTAAATATATTTTTTAAATTCCCAAATATCAATTTTGGGGACAGGTTCAAAAGTCTAAAGGTTGAAAGAGACTGTAATTATATAAAATTTCTACCCATAGTGGCACTGAGAAGGACCTGATTAATGAACATGTGTGATTTGTAAGAAACTATTTTCTCCTCTGGGTTCTCTCATTAGCAAACTCCAGTGAAGTGTCCTGATTAAATCTGAACTAAAGTCTTGACTTCCACGGTGCAGAAAAAGAAAGCCACAGCCAGAGATATCACTCCTGACTAAACCAACCTCTGTAGAAGCTGCCCACCCGCCTAGGCATGGATTCGCTGTAGATGTTGCGGTTTTCTTTGGAAGAGCCCCCATCTTCTGTTTGCTGGTCATGATATAAGCCAACCTGAGTCACAACAGAAATACTTATCACATTAAACCTTAGAGGCTAACTGCTTTGCATGCATCTCTGTCTGACATGATACCTTTATTTACCTGAGAGGACAAGAAAAAAAAAATTGGGGGCGTATTGATTTACGAGTGGTCTTTATAATAAAACATCTGTAGGCTATAAATGAATCCCAGAATCAAACTGAAATGTGCTGCGATGACAAGCTTGACTGTGCTATCATAAGTAGTCACATTAGAGGGAAGCAAAGCGCACAGAGAAAATGAAGAGGCATCTGATGTGAAGAGACAGAGAAAAAGACAGAGAGAGAGAGAGAGAGAGAGAGAGAGAGAGAGAGAGAGAGAGAGAGAGCAGTTCATGACAGCAGTATCCACCCACATCCGCACTCTCGGAAGACTGGATGTGGGTGGGGAATGGTGGGTGCAGGCAGAATGTCGGACCTCGCTTTTTTGCCGCTGTGTGTGAAAAGATGCGGTGTTGTCCCTTGTGGAGTCCCTTATTGGGGGTCTGCTGTGGGTGACCTCAGTGGGTGCCTGTTCGCTCTGTTAATGGAGACATGATGAAGCATGAAGTGCTCAGCATTGCAGTACATACATACAAATACAGACACGCACGCAGTATATATACTATATGTGTGTATACAGTATATATAAATATACAGGTAGCATGAATCACTGTATATCCTAAGAAGAAAGCCACACTCTTAGCACTTGCAATGTTCATAGATGAAGCTGCAGTTATGTTAATCCTGCCTTTGCAATTCATTACAAACCCAGGACACAGGATCTGGCTGAAAAACCTAAACACAGATCATCATTTTTTTCAGACGTCACCAGAATAAATCCTGGCTGCATTGTTGGGCAAACTGAGACTGAGCCGGAGTTATCCAATAAAACCTGGTGTAGGCATTCGATATGATTATATCCTGTACGGTTAGGCTTTCCTTAAGGTTGGGGATTTTTGAAGTGGGCTGAAGACTGACCCTGCTCATGTCTTCTTCTCTGGAGGAGCCCCCAGAGTGGCGGGGCAGCGTACGGTGCTGCAGCTGTGGAGACAGGAGCTGGAGGCTGCTGGCTCTGGTGGGGATTCCCTGCCCGACCGACAGCCCTTCGTCTGCCCCGTGTGTCCTCTGGTGATCCCTTCGTACGTACATGGAGTGGCGGTGCGGCCGCTGCTGGGAGGAGAAGGGGCTGGTGTACCCTTGACCATAAGCCAGAGGGTCATGTGGGGCGGACAGAGAGTGAGAATGGCTCCTTTCGATGCCGCTGTCCCCAGGATCAAGAGCATCCGGTGACTTGGCCTCCTCCGATGTCTTATGGCGGGTGGAGGAGCGCCTGTAGGAGGAGTCCAGAGTGTTGCTCTCTCTGTCGGAGCGCATGCTTCCTCGGCCACCAGGTCCCAGTCTGTCCACTCTGCGAGGTGCTGGGCTGCTCGGAGCTGTGAGGTCGAGGCAGCTGGAGGGAAAATAGCGTGATGTAGGCTCGTCTGCATAAAGATGCACATCGTTTAAGTTCCCCACTGACTTGGCATCACTCAGCGTGCCATAGCTCTTGGACAAGTTCAGGTAGGCAAACTTGGAGGAGGGCGTGGAGCTGTGGGACTCCATGTAGCTGTGTCTACTGTGTTTGTCCCCCGATTGAAGCGTGTTGGTCTTTCCTTCCACAAAAGAGTGGCGGTTCTGCTGTGAGCGGAAGTTGGATTTGAGGTACTTGGCCCCGGGGCCGTCGGACACCTTGGACCCCAAGTTCATCTCGAAGTCGCCCTTACTCTTGGCCTCACCGGGACTGAGCAAATGAGGCAGGTTGCTGCTGGCCAGGTCCATGCTGCAGGCAGTGGAGTGGTTGAAGATCTGCGGCTGGTAGTTCTTGGGATGCAGGGTTGGACTAAGGTTGATGCCTGCAGGCATGTTGCCGTTGAGAAAGCTGTCGTTGCTGGGGTGGAGGTCTTCGTGTCGGGGTAAGCTGGAGCACTCTCTGCTGCTGGAGCGGTGGCTTCCTGAGCTTTTTCCCCCGTGGCTCCTGAGCAAAAGCAGAGAGAAAGAACAACATCAACATAATGTGCATCAAACAATCCAGTTTACACAATAAACTGGATGACACTGGAAGTGACAGCCTAGTAGCTGGCTGGTTGGATGTACCAGATGTGGTGTGCCACAGGGATCTATTGCAAGACTCTTAATCTTCCTAACACATGTAAATGACATGAACTCTACAGCTGATTGTATTTTTTTTCTGTATGCAGAGTTAGTGAGTTCTGTGTGTCTTTATATGTGTAATAAAACCTTTGATTGAAAACAACTGGTCATATTTGACAAAGGAAAACAAATCATCTTGTGTGTCTAAACATCAGGGAGTCACTGACAAGCCTAAACCAACTACTGGGCTCACAGCTGACCTGCTGGGGGTGGTGTTGTCTCCGTGGTGAGGTTTTCTCTTGGAGGAGCGTACAGGTGTAGGTGTGGGTGGGCCGGGCCGCTCCACCAGCCGCAGGGTCTGGAAGGCGTGGTGGTTCAGGCTCTGCTCTGTGAGAAATCGCTCTGTCGGGTTCAGCAACAGCAGGTTCTAAAGCACAAACACACAGAGGGAGCCCGTGAGTCCTCAAGACACCATGAACATCCAACAAACTGAAACAGTCATGCTATTATGAGTCATCGCCATTATCATAAAAGTCAGGCTGCTGCTGCATTTAATTGTGTCTTGCAGTCACCAAAGAAGCCAAACAATGATGTGAAATATGATTTGTGACAGTTTCTTTTTTTCTTACCAGAATAAATGTGTTTAAAAACCTGTCTACATAGACTTTAATAAAAGCTGAATCTTGTATGAATGCACTCAAAATAAAACCCGTGACATGAAGACAGTTTGTGAACTCTGAGTGCTGCTTTGTTTTTATGTAATGAAAATTTATAGTGGCAGCTACTTTCCTCACTTCTTCCTCAACAGAAGCAATGAAATGACCACTCTCCTTGCAAGCCATATAGTTTTGCGTCAGCAAATTGCCCGATCTGCTAGATCAATGTCTAAACTCAACTTAGTGATGAGAGAGATGCCTGTCTTTGCTGAAGCCAGTCCTGAGATGACATTATGTTAGCAGTGAGTCATTATCTGCTGGGAAAAGCGCAAGTGCACAAGCACAGCCCACATTCTTGACATGGAGCTCCTGTTTACAGTGCAGACACAGCAATAACAGCAGTGCTGGAACCAGGATATGAGCTGAGAGATGCTGAAGCAGTGAAGAGGCATCATGCAGTCACGACGTAAACACGATGGTAATGATGCAATTATCAGGTGTCTCGTTTATGAAAATTGGATTTTTTTTATTGTTACGGAATGCTTTCATGATAGTATGTGAACAGAAATAAACGGAAACTGAGAAAAGGTGAAAAAAAATAGTGCCATTCCCCTAAGCAGAGAAGCATTCAGCTCTGCCAGAGCCGTGAAACTTACCTTCAGCAGGTCGAGCAGACCTCCGCCGATGATTCCCAGGTATCTTCGCTCCAAGGTTTGGGGGTGGTTCACAGCAGGAAACTGAAGCGTTAGCAAAAACAGTGGATAATAGTACTGTCAGAAATGTGCAAATGACTGCATAATCACTACTTTTCAGAGAAACCATCACTATCAGCCACATGTGCCTGTTAATATATTCAGCTTATTTTCATTTCAAATAGTGTCATTACCTTAAAATTTACATTTTCAGGCGTTCGTCATTTTTACTTAGTTTCAAGTAGTATACTGTTAAAAGACCAATTCATTAGCTTTTAATTGCCTTATATTTTATCTTCAGAATTTTAATGTTTTTATTTGACCTACTTCAATTTTTTATTTTTTATTTTTTGTCAAGGCATTTTGAGTTGCACTTACTACATGAAGGGTGTGGGTTTTTAATCATTATTTATTACCTGAATTAGAACATAACAAAACAAAGAAGCTGGTTATTGGCTTGGAATAAAGGAAACTGAGAGCATTAGCAATTCTTATCAGAAAGACAAAATAATTTCCTCTTTCAGACTGAGTTTTATATTGTTATAGATATGACATTAAAGGTTCCATATTGTTTCCCTTTTCAGCAAATTAATCAAAGTCTCATATGTCCACACAGTGTGTCTTTTAGTTTTTCAGCTCAAAATACTACAAACATGATTCATTTTAACATAACTCCTGGTTTTTCGTCCGGTTCTAAATATGCTGTTTTGCTCTGAAAACCAATGAGTTGCTGCTGTTGCCGCCCCCAGTTGGAGCTGTCAATCACAATCTGAGCTGGACAACTATCGATTAGTCAGGTGCTACACAGCGTCTGGGTTGAATTCTCTCTTGTAGCACTGGGAGACTGACTAGATTTGAGGGGAGCTTTAGGAATGGCAGAAGTAAACATCTTCATATCTTAACAGCTTTTATTTTATACCTCCAAGTTTATTACAACCACAAAACACAATTAAAAAGGATTTTCACCAAATGGAATCTTTATTTCAGAAGGCTTGGTCCAGGATATTTTCCTTAGGAAGTCCTTTGAAGTTCGTAGGAAGTTGTCAGAGTTTTGTGGCCTTGTTTTTTTGTATTTTGGGATAACAGTGTCATTGACAATGGGTGGAAAATTATTGAGGTCCCTCTCTGGTTGTTGATTTAACCCCTAAAAAGTCATCTGTGTATCACTGTGATATTTTAAGAAGTGTTTCATATACCAATTATACCTTCCTGGGAAACTGCCTCTGAATAACAACAACAATACAGAAAGATTGATTCCTTAGGTTTGTTAAAACCCAAAAGTTTGAATCTGCGTCATCAGTACACTGCAATTTCAAGGTGGCAATGTTTAGTCATGCCGTCGATTGCTTATATTAGTATTGATATGTTCATATAGTCAAGGTAACGTTGAGACAATTAACAAAAATGTTTCATGTTTTACGGTCTAAAAAGTCTGTGAAAGTTGCAGTAGACAGAAAAAAAACACCATAATTTGAAAATATACAGTTGTCCCGCATCTCTTCCTTCTTCTCTCTATTCCACCAGATGAACAAAGTAGTCAAGCTAAAGGTCAACATTTATTTGTTGTCTGACCCAGGATTCAAATGTTGACCTCCTACGTGACAGTCCTACATCTAACTCACTGCACCACAACATCCTGTTCTCACTGTGGACTTTGTTGTGATTCATACTGTTGCATTTGATCAATGAAAAGCCCTGTGATTTGCTAAAGTTCCCTAACACAGGCTAAACTTTCCTAAGTCTGAAAACAAAGGGAAGAGGAAATTCAGAAATCTAGTTTTGTGTAAGATCAGTTGAATTACGATATACTGGAAGGTTAGTATGGCACTTTTTGCCCAATCATGTAATAAGAAAACTGCCTACCTCAGCTTTAAGTGACCGATCTAGGATGCAGAGATGCTCCCTAGAATGATCTTGAAAATCTTCAGTGCACACAGCTATGAAATGACCTGTATACCTGCCTGTTTCTGTTACTTATAGGATGCTGTTTTAAAATATTTTTACTTTATATTTACTGCCTTCATGATGTATAACTTATGGTTAGCCTTTAATATATTCATTGATTGACTGTATTGAAATATAGTGTTTTAACGTAGATAACCTGATACTTTGCATTTCAGTGTCACTGCTGTTGTGGCAATATGTTTTTCATATGCTGTCGCCTATGCAGCATTTCATTTCATGTATTTAATTTCATTTTACGTATTTTCATAGAAAAAAATGCAGACATTATGAACAAATAGCAATAAAGGTAGAATATATGGCTATGTCAGATGGAAACCATAGTTAACAATGCTAAGAAATAAAGGAATGCACTAGTTTGACCTTTATATCCTGCTATTTATGGGTGTATAACTTTGATCAAACTAGACACGCTCTGAGAACTGAGTGGAATATCATGCAAACATGACGATGCTCTTGTAAAATATTTTAGAAATGCCCACAGAGGGTGTTGAGACTATGCCCACTTCTGCTGGTATCCTTCAGATGCTACTACTCCTAAAATTACATTTTGTTCACCAAAGGCACTGTTGCATGTGATTTCACCCACATCCAATCTCCCTCTGTCAACCTTTCATTTTGACAGAATTTTTTTTTCTTCTTCTGACTATTGTGAATTTTCCGTTTGCCAGAAAAAAAAAGCACGTCCAGAAGCTGTTCTTTTTACATCACACATTTCCAAGTGTTACAGAACGCACATCGTAGGTGGCCAACATGATAAAACAACCATCAAACATCCTGTGTTCGCTCACAAGTGTTGTGTGCTTTTCTTTCTGGTCTGATTTATTTTAATAAAAACAATTTGCATGTTTCCATCAAACACCGTTTTTCTTTCTTATTGTCCTCTCTGCTTATCTGTGAAGAGTTTGCAGGCTCATTTAAATGACAACAAGCACAGATACGTTGTGGAGATAGTTTTTTTTTCTTGTCCTTGAGCGAGTACTAACAATAGCAGGCGCTCAGTGTTTTTTTTAAGAAACATCCCCATCCAACATGTGTCTGTGTTACTGGCGAGAACATGTTATTGTAGAAGAACAATTTATGTTTTTAGGAGCTTAAATTTAGTCCAAAAAAACTGAAGGTCCTCATCAAAAAAAAATTCCCTGCTTCCAATAATCAATTTTTACACCCAAATTGTCCAAAAAAACGGGCAGATTGCAAACTAACAATGATTTCTTGGAGAGGAAAAGGACGACCCAGGTCTGTTGTACCACCAGAAGACTTATCACAGCCTTCCTTCACAGTGCATACAGGATACATGATACAGGATGAGTCATTGTGATCCAATCAGTCACGGCACAGCAAACTCGCCAGAAAAAAAAAAAACAACAAGCAGAGAGTGTAGAGACAGAGCAGGGAGAGAGAATAAATAAGGGTGGAAGAATAAAGAGGAGGAAGCAGGAAGAGACAGAAGATCAAGTGGAAAGCGATGCAAGGAAAGCAGTAATAAGAGCAACAGGGAGCAACGGGTCAGCCGAGTCGGGGTTGGGGTAAAGGGGTGTGAAGGGCGGCTTGATGTTACCCTGAGCCCGTGGAAGCGAGGGTTGTTGTAGAAGAGCTTCATCTGCTCTGGTGGCAGGGGTCCCAACACTTTCTGGATGGTGAAGAGCTGGTCGATTTCGCTCTCTCCCGGGAAGAGAGGCTGCCCGTCACTCAGCTCTCCTAAGATGCAGCCCACTGACCACATGTCCACTGCCTTCCCGTACGGAGCCCTGGGGGCACAGATTTCAGGTTGTTGGTGATAAAAGCCAGGCATAAGATTAAACAATAAAAGGACACTGCAGTGTCAGGGTTCCTGGACAAAGCTAAAAAAAAAAAACAAAAAAAAAACAGCAGGCGTACCCGAGCAGGAGCTCTGGAGAGCGGTACCATCTAGTGGCCACATACTCGGTGTAATTGGCATCAGTCCCTTCAGAGAGATTACGTGCAAAGCCTGGCAAGAGAAGACAGAGGAAGCAATATCGTATAATGAGGAGCTTTTTGATATGCTCTGCATGCTGAGAAATCTAAAAATGATTTTAGCTGGGTGCCTCTCTGGACGCTCATTATGCTTCAAAGGTGTGAGTTACAAAGGAGTTGAGTTAGGTAAAAGATGCATTGATATAGGAGAGACGATGAGCCCTCTGAGAAGACACTGTACTGGCAAAACTACAGTCGTCAAATTATCCCGACATTGTTTAACACATATCCAGTCATAAAGTTTAGTAATTTTTCTAATCCCGAGGCAAATGTACAAAGGAAGTTACCTACAGTACACAGTCAGGAGACTGTTAGCGTAGTGAGTCCCGAAATGAGCGTAAACAGCTGGACTGGCTCTGTCCTGGGTTTAAAAAACACTTCCAGCACTTCTAAAGCTTACTGAATAACATGTTATTCTTCCTTTACTAAATCCATACAAAAAAAGCACAAAGAACATCCCTGTGACTGGTCAGGAAGTAGTTTGAGAAAGAGGTGTTTTGTAATTTTGACGGAAAACTGTGACTTGTGCGTTCTGTGATGTTTTTGGACCAATGTTGGGGCTGAAATGTAAAAAGAAAACCTTCCCCGAATTACTTCACATAACTCGAAGTACATCGCTTGTGCGTGAATCTGTTGATGTGACTGCGGTAAGACTGCCGTCACAACTTTCACGGTAAAGTGACCAGTGTGCTCGTTCAGACATGAAACCAACACATTCAGCTTCCGTCAGATTAATGGAGAAGACGGCATGCCTGAAAGGAGTTTAACTGTATCACCCCTTTATTCTGGGAAATCTTATTCTCTTTACTCTACAACAAGATACCAGGTAAATATTCTTCCCAAAATGTCAAATTTTACTTTATAAATTCTGACATACATTGAACCTGTTAGCAAGAGATTTTCACTTCCAGGTTAGTCATTTCTTACGGTGGTGTCTACAATAAAAAGAACATACAATAAAAATGACACAATCCCAAACATAAACCTTCACAGCGGAGTCTGTTTGGCCTGTGTCTGTTCTCTCAATGCCTTTGGCTGACACAGAGCAAACAGCAGGTCTTTAGTCTCTCACTCCAGATTGCCGGCATGATGTTGGCTATGCCATGTTTTACGTTTCCCCCTGTTCTTGTTGTGACGCCACCAGGCTGAATGAAAGCGTGATTAGGCTCTTGTTCCTCAACACGTTTCATTAATTGAGATAAGAGAAGAATTCACAGCAGCAGTCCGAGAAGCAGCAGAGGGGGACGCACACAGAGCTTTAGATAACCGGATGAAGCCTGCCTGCTGCACTCCTGAAGCACTGGTTTCAGCCAAATATAGTCTCTGTTGAAAATACTCCTTTTACATCATCACAGCTTTGACTCTGTGGCCACCTTTCTTGCAGCTCGTACAGTGTGAGGATTTGATAGAGGTGCTCACCAAAGTCACATAACTTGAGGACATCATCAGAGCTGATGAGAAGGTTTTCTGGCTTTATGTCTGAGGAGGAAAAACACAGATGGGGAGTAAGCAGACGAGGGACATCATCACAACATCCTCGCTACCATCAATTTCTGCCACCACATGTTCATCTTTCCCAGTGAGAAGAATATTTGAATGATTTATCTTCATAAAAACAGCACCGGAGGAATGAAGAGAAATCCAATTATATCAGTAAAAATGCACAGATTGTAAAGGAAAGCCATAACCCATACACCAAATCCCTCGGTAACAGTGTCATATGTGTGCCTGGGTATACTACAGGCCATTTGGATGCCTGCTCTGTTGCTCCCTATGTGCCAAAAGCTCACATGGACCATCTGGTTTCCCGCTCTGCTGCCACTGATTCACCGAAAGCTCTTTCTCTGAACAATATAATGGTTAGTTACGATGCATCACACAACTTATTAAACCTCCACTTCGTTACAGAGAAATCAACAGACTTAAATTGTTTGATTTTACACTCTAAAATAAACAATAGTGGTTCTAGTTGCTTCTGGAAATGCGAGCACAGATGGTGCTCAGTGATGAGGCAATAGTAAATGCTGCACTCTCTGTATGTTGCACGAGCCTCTTCCAGCTTAGAGGGCCTCTTCTCTGCCTCACCAACACTTTCTCTCTCTCATCTGTTCCAAAAAAAAGTCAAGAAAAAAATAGCAAAAATATAGATCTCACCTCTGTGAACAATGTCATGCTTATGGCACCAGTGAATTGCTTTGATTAACTGGAAGATGTAGCTGCGCGCTTTGTCAGTCGGCACACCGTTGGGTAACTCCTCGAGCAGCTCAAGCATATTCTGACAGAGGTAAAAAAAACAAACAAAAATGACACCGGGCCATGTGACCGACACAGAAAAGAGTGAGTGTAAAAACAGTCTATTAAAGCAACTTACCTTCTCCACATACTCAAAAACAAGATAGAGCTTCCCTCTTCTGCGGAAGGCCTCTTTCAACTCAACAATATTCTCCTGCTTGAGGGTGCGGAGCATCTTAAGCTCCCGTAGAGTTGTTTCTTTAACCTCCTCATTTTCTGCATGAAGGTGAGACAGAGAGAAAATCAGGATCACACTGAGGTTCCGTGCAGTGATAAATATGGGATGTGAGACAAAGGGAAATAAAAGAGGATGAACTGCTTGATAATAGAAATCACAAGTGTTCTCTGATGAGGTATTCCTCATCGGTAACAAGAGCCCTCTTACCTTCACTGTCCTTGAATTTCTTAATGGCCACAATTTCATTGGTCTCCTGCAATAAAAACACCGAGCAGACAGTGAGAAATCAATCCTGCTTTTTGTTGCTGCTCTCGTCCATGCATCAAAACAGCGGGAAAACACAACAACAAAGCTGACCGAAAACAAATTTAACAGTACAACTATTTCTGGCTGTACTGCTTGCTCTCAGTAGTGAGTATAAGGCAGTTTTGGATTCAGTTGTGTGGACTTTGATTAAACATATCTAATTGGGTTAATCTGCAATACAAACACACACCTCTAAGTCCAAGTCTACAGGAAGCTTAATTAAATATCGATTGGATAGAAGTTAACATTCATGACCTGTTTGTATCTTGTAGAACTGCAACATGGGGTCAGGACCTCTACAGGGGGTCACAGAATGATCTAAGGGGTTGTGCAATGACCTCACCCTTGTGCAATCTTTGTTTTTTTTCTTCTGAACTATTGTGCAATTTTACCTTATTTAGGCTTTTTTTTTAACCAAACATCTGAACTTCTTTTTCTCTCATCATAGTTAATGGAATTAGGGATAAAAATCAGGAGTGCTGCACTGGGTCAAGAACGATAAGGCTGGTCATTTAAAAGCAAAGAAAAGATCAAATAAGGTGCTTTTTAAAGATAGCAGGTTTATTACCTACTATACATGGATAAATGAATGCATTATTAAAGCATGTATATGTATTACTAAAGGATTCATAAATATTTAAATGACAGTGCCTAGGATAGCTTTTGGGCTGCTGGTCAATACAAAGTGGGACAGTTCTTATATTTTAATCCTAATTTGTTAAACTGGGCTTTGGACTCGGTCAGACAAACAAAACATTTAAAAAGTCACCTTTAAAGACATGTTACACAGTTTCTGACTATTAATCTAACAAGAAAACAATTAATTGATAATAAAACAACAGTTGGCTACTAGTGTGAGCTGCACACACTCCATGAGAAGGGTTCTTAGTAGACTTTGTTATATATTAAGGGGTCACTAGCTTGCAAAAATGAGGAGAATGATTCACTGCTGAAAGGTAGTACAAACAGAACCAGTGCACCTGGAAAGGTTTGTTGCTTATGCAAAAAATCTGCAGAAACAGTCCTTGTCACATGTTAAATGTCGGAATGATGTGAAATAATCAACAACATATGGAGCAAATACATAACTTTAAAACTAGCCCCCACCAATTCCCTGCTTTCCAGAGACACTTCTCGTCATCCCTTCATAAAGTTCTCATTGAGAGACGCCCCACTGCTAGCCCCATTTCTCGACATGTCCTAGTTAGGCCTGGTATTTCTGCCTATGGCTCAGAGCTGTGCTCCAGTTCCCCCCTCCCTCAGAAAGCCAGAGGCAGCATCGCTCCGCTCCAACATGGATCACAGTGAACAGTGAGCCCTCCTCCCAGCACTGTGAAATATAAGATGACTCACAGCAGGGTCAGCTTCATGCGCATCACGGTACTGTCCAAGATAGTCTGAGTGAAGGGAGATGATGAGCGGCAGAGGACAGACTAAATAACCTGTTTCATATCTAAACCTGGTTCACTAAAGTAGAAAATAACACCTGATCAGCAGCTACATGAACATTTTAAAATATCAAGATCAGATGTCTTGGAAATCATAGGCTTTATTTGTATGCACTATACATTTAACTGTGTACTGATGTAACTCTGCACACTGTTGCTGGTGTCTGCAGGACTGCATGGTGGTAGTTTGAGCAGAAATAATATAATGTTGTCATTGTCTGATAATGTTATGAAGTGTGTCAGTAGTATTAGTCCTGTCATACTTGCCTTGTTGGTCGACAGACATCAGTTGATATATGTTTAGCTATCTATTAAAGATGATTAAAAATGTCTGTTTTCTCTCAGGATCAAAGAAGACGCACTCATCTGCTGATAAATGCTGTTTTTAAATGCACTTTTTTTTCATTCATATGTTTTTTTGATTATCAATGGTCACTTATTTTGATAGATTTTCAGATTCAAAATTCAAAAAAAGAGTGCAATTTTGATTCAAACAACAACTTGTAATCGCCACTATACTGCACATCAACCATCAGTCACCCTGTTCTAAGCAGCTCACAGCACTAGACTCCTCAGGATGGGTATTGGCAAAAGAGTTGATACTGAGTGTAATTTACACACTAAGATAAAATATGTCGTTTAGCTAAGGTTGTATTACTGTAGACGCAGACTTGTTCTTGTGTGAGTAAAAAAACATGTATTAGGATAAATTCTACCTTCATGATGAAGCCATGTTGTTGTTTTCTTTCTGATACTGTTTTATGATTTATCACAGTCTTTTAAAATAAAGCATTCAAAATAAGAAATAAATGACTGAGTCAAGAAATGTAAATACAGTGTCAGTGACTGTATTTACATGCATGTTAGCATTGCAACTTGGCCCACATTTTGGATGTTGCAAACAAACAAACAATAAAAAGAAATCCAGTTTACGGGGGCTCCGAATGATGATTCACCATAGCAACGGGTAAATAAAGAGCAGAGTCTCCATTTAAATGCTGTGTAGCCAGAATGCAGACCATGACATTTATCTTCAAAAGGAGGAGAGAACAGAGTCAGTATGTTCACACTGTTAGATTTAATCCAGTATCGTCCACTTATTCATTTTTTAGCCTACCTAACTCGCATTTTCTTTAATGAATCATAAAGCTGGAACCCTGCTGGTATATTACAGTTGATTTTTAAATATAATTCATGACTGCATTACTTAACATGGAATGCTGTTAGAATATGCTAAGAATATATGCAGACATTATTTAAGACCTTACTCATCTTCATGTACATGTATGTAAATTCATTATCCCTCATCTGTACATATGAAGCTTGTATATGTTTTAGTCTTATTGTACTTCTGTATTTCTTGTCTTGCGTCTTCGATGCCTTAGTTTTATCTAGGTGTTGTAACATGTAAATTTCCCAGGTGAGGTATCAATAAAGTTTATCTTATCTTATCTTAGCCACAATATGATGCTTACTATGATAGGACTGTTCCATCAGTGTGACAAACCCAACATGACAAATGTTCATTTACCGATCAGTGTCTTATGTGTCTGAAGCTTCTTACAGATGTTTTTTTTTTCTATGTACAGTAATGTCACAGTGTAAAAACGAGGGACAGTGTATGAATTTTATTCTCAGCTAAGAATTAATCACAGTCTCTGTCCTTGCACTGATGACAGGCAGCTGATCATAATGCAGTGATGTTAAAGAACATCCGTGGCTGTCAATCTATTGTTTACTTTGATGTTTCTAGATATCTAAAATTCTGCAAATAAAGGGAAGTGTCAAACAGAAAGTCAGAGTTTGTTGAAAAAAAAACTGCCAGGTTCGGTTCACAGACTCAGTAACCATGGTAACTAACCCAGTTTAAGACACCAAACAGAAAACCCAGAATTTTACTCATGTCAGGTTTAACAAACTCTAAACTAGCTTTCTGGAAGAGACTTTATGTAGCATATTTAGATTTCTCAGAACTAGAAAAAAAATGCTTACCCTATTTTATTTCAGTAATATATCCTATTTAAAACACTTACATCTTTTCTACTTTTCTAGCTTTTCTACTTTTTAGACACTGCATTTCTTATGTCATTTAGCTTTTTTTCTATGTAATACCTACAACAAGAATTTCCTTTGGGATTTATTATTCTTTATTGTATCTCATCTCATGTCAGTTAAATTATCTCATTAAAAATATCTGGTCCAGGCTAAGTTCTGATGTATGCCTTACTGGTTTTATCAAAAATACAGATAAGCTCAAACTGAAGTGTAAAGAGGCCTGTTTGCTTGTTTGTTTCAGTTCAATTCACTTGGGTTTTGCTGCTTGCTTATCTCACATAAGTTCCACCCAGGCTCCATGACCCATTTGCCAAAAAACAGACCTAAATCCAGGCTTCAGAACGTCCTTTTGAAAGGTGGATTATTGACATCACTGAAAATACTAAATGTTTCCTTATACTGTGTGAAGTGGACACAGCAGCCTGTCACTAAAAACACACTTAGCAGTGCAGAAGGAAGAAGCACTGTATCACACGACCTGAAGGTCTCCGAAGTAAGTCGTCACATACAGCACTCCCACAGAATAACACCGAAACTAGCGACTTCAAAACTTCGGGGACCCAACTTTTCATTTGCTTCAATTCACACCACATTACATCAGTCATTTAAGTCGGTTCAAGTTATTTCTGCTTCAGGTACAAACCGTACAATGCGCTGCAGTCAGAATGATAGCACATCCTGCAAATACGGAGCATAAACAGCGTTCACACTGATCTCTCATTTGTTAACAGCCATCCAAGAGCAACTTGTAACAGTCTGCAGTTTATTGTGAGAGCATGACCACGTTGGAGGGATCAGTGCAGAACACCAGGTGCTGTGAACCTTTTTGTGTAACGTTTTATTTTAAGCTCTATAGGAATTCCCGTGTGGCGATGGACTGTGAGGCTCATTTATGTGGGAGAGAAACCAAGCTGGGTAAATTATTATTTACTATGAAGAAGCTGTAACTCTCCCACGACCTGAACTGCACAGATTAAGCCTTTGGGTCAAACAAGACCACCTCTTTGATACCTTCTAAAGTCAGGGAACCTCAGGGGCAATATCAATATCCGAAACAGCAGGATGAAAAGGTAAGTAAGCTTTTATCATAAAAAAGGAAACTGATTCAAAAAGAATAAAGCAGAACTGGGGGTCTATTATGTGCAAAGTGCTACTATATAAATACATTACCGTCTTACAGCACTGCTGTCTCTGGGCTTAATTTCCTTCACATTTCTTGCCACACCTAAATCAGTAATGTCACTGCAGGTGTTTTGCCCTTGAAAACATCTGGAAGATATCTGCTGTGACGTCAAATAAGTCGTGATGAAAGCTCATTCACACATACACTGATACACCAGTTTTATAACTATGTAAATCTCACCCACTAGAAATGATAAAAGACATGAGATTAATTACAAAGCTATTCATTGTTCATAATCTTGATTAAAACAGTCATCTCCTG